ATTGCAATAGAACTTTCCTGGAAAACCAGCAGGCTACAGTGTTTTCTTTAAGAGATAGGTTTTAGCCCTGGTTTGATTTTTTTAATTGTTGTAAAATTGTTCAGATTTTCTTTATTCCTGAGTCGGTTGTGGTAACTTAACGTTCTTCTAGAAATTCAGCCATTTCATCTAAGTTTTCAAATATATTGGCAAAAGCAATATTTATAATATTCTATGACTGTATCTTCTGTATATGTTATTTTATCATTTTTATTCTTAATTTTTTTTTTTTTTTTTTTTTTGCATTTTAGCTCTTTTTTTTCCCCAAGGAATCTGGCCAGATATTTGTCTGTTTTATTTATATTAAAAAATTTTTTTGAATGTTTTATTTATTTTTGAGACAGAGAGAGACAGAGCATGAGCAGGGGGGGGGCAGAGAGAGGGAGACACAGAAGTCGAAGCAGGCTCCAGGCTCCGAGCTGTCAGCACAGAGCCCGACGTGGGGCTCGAACCCACGAACCGTAAGATCATGACCTGAGCCGAAGTCGGATGCTTAACCGACTGAGGCGCCCCTGTTTTATTTATATTTTAGTAAACATTTGGTTTATTTGAAACTTTCTACTGTTTCTTTGTGTCCTAGTCCATTCATAGTCATATCTTTATTTTTATCTCCCTTCGACCTTTTTTTCCTTTTCTACTTCTTTACTACTATTTTTATTCTTTGTCTTATCTAAGGGCTTAACTCATTTTCAGCCTTTATATTTTTCTAATATAAGCATTCAAGGCTATAAATTTCTTTCAAAATACTATTTTCATGGCTTCCCACAAGTTTGCTATGTAATATCTTCATTATTGTTCAGATCAAAAGATTTTCAAATAAATGTGTTATTTTATTTAACTCATGATATATTTAGAAGTATGGTTATTAATTTCTTTGAGGGATTTTAAATTTACCTCGTTACTAACTTCTGACTTGATTACATTATGGTGATGGAAAGTGATCTGTATAATCCCAGTTCTTTGAAATTCATTGCAATTTGTGTCGTGGCCTAAATGGTCAGTACTCTGTTCCATGTTTTTGGGTGTTTTTTTTTTTTTTTTACCATTTTATGTATGCTATAAAGAAATATGTATTCTTGAATGGATGAATGCAGAGAAAGATCCCTTACCATTTTTATCATTTTAGTATTTGTAAGTGATGTCACCTTTCTCACTCTTGATAGTTGGTGCCATCAATTGCCCTCTGCATACTGCCTTAGTAGTGTGCAACAAATTCTGATATGTTGTGTTTTCATTTTAGCTAGATTAAAATACTTCACAATTTCTCTTTGAATTCCTTCTTTGACCCATAGGTTATTCATAAGTGTGTTATATTTAGTTAAGTATTTGTGGATTTTCCAGATTTCCTTTTGCCGCTGATCTCGGACTTAAATCCGCTATATCAGATAAAACACTTTGTACCATTTGAATACTTTTAATTTACTAGGACATTGACTTACTGCGGTCGGTCTTAGTGAATATTCTGTGTGCACTTGATGAAAATGTACCTTCTACTCGTTGTGCAGAGTATCTTAGAAATATCAACTAGGTCAAGTTGGTTGATAGTTTACAAGTCTGCCTTTGATGGGTCTTTTTCTTTTTTTTTTCCTATCAATTATCAAAAGAGGAATAAAATTATGGATTTGTCCATTCTTCTTACAGTTCTACCAATATTGGTTTCGTGTATTTTTAAGCTTTGTCATTAGGTTCATGAATATTTACGATTGTTATATCTTCCTGATTAATTCATACCTCTATCACTATGAAATGGCCTTCTTTATACCTAACAATAATCATTGTTCATAAATCTAGTGTTAATATAGCCACGTGGTTTTCTTTCAACTAGTGTTAGCATGCTAGGTGTTTTCCCCATCTATTCTAACTTGTGTCTTTATATTTAGTTTTTGTTTCTTATAGGAAGCATACACTTGTGCCTTGCTTTTTTCTGAACATCTTTGTCTTTTAATTCAGGTGTGTAGACCATTTTCGTTTAGTGTGAATATTGATATGATTAGGCTCTAACCTTTCATCTTGTTATTCGTTTTCATCTGTCCCAACCCAAAGGGGGCTCTGGGGAAGATCAACAGATTTGAATGGACAAATAACCGAAGATGATAATTAGAGTGACAGATAATGAAGGCATATGAGAAGATTCTCAGCATCACTTTTCATTATGAAAATGCAAACTACAGCCGCAAGGAGGCACCACTGCACACTTATTCAAAGTCCTCATCCTTAGCTAGTGCTGGTGGGGATGTAGATGAGCTGGAATTCCCACATGCCACTGGGGAGAATGCGAACTAGTACAAACACATTGGAGAACAGTTCCCAGCCTTTTAAACAGGTAAGCATACCTACCGTATGACCCAGCCGTCCTCTCCCAAATACTTACCCAAGAGAAAAGGAAGCCTTATGTCCATACAAGTGCCTGTACGTTTATGTCCCTATCAGCATATTTGTCACAGTCCAAACCTGGAAGTAACTAAAATGTCCACCAACAGGGGAAGAGATAACTTGGAATGGAATGCTAGTCAGCAATAAGGAGGCATGAACTGTTGATAGATGTTACAACAGGGAGGGATCTCAAAATGATTATGAATGAAAGAAACCAGACACAAAGAGTACATACTTTATGACTCTATTTGTCAGAAATTCTGAATATTCAAACTAATCTGCAGTGACAGAAAGCAGATCAGTGTTTTCCTGGGGAGGGAGGAGTGAGGAAAGCAGTAGAAAGAACAGGATTTAACAAAGGACATGAAGATACTTTTGTTCATCTTCGTGATTGTAATGGTGGTTTCATAAACATATATATGTCAAAACTTATCAAATTGTACACTTTAAATATGTGCAGCTAATTGTATGTCAATCATATCTCAATAAAGCTCTTTTTAAAATACATCTTAAGCTTAGAATTTATCACCAAGAGAATACAAATAAGAAGGAGGTCTTCCAAAACACTAGAGAAAATAAAATAGTAAACAGCTCACAAAGCCAAAGATGGGGAAAGAACAAGGAAAACAGAGCATAAATAACAGATGTCTCAACAAACATGTCTGTTTTGACAATACTCTAAATAAAACAATCCAAATAGGCACTCTTTGCCCAAGGTACACCTAAAATAAAATACTTGAATGTTCAAAAGGAAAGGATAGCAAAGACGTGTTGTGAAAACCACAAGAGGAAGGGTCGGTAAAATGAATGTCAGGGAAGGCTGAAAAGGACAGACAATAATTTGGTCTGAGGAACTATTCAAGACCCAATGAAGGCATAACAGTGATTAACCTTTAAGCGGCAAATAACTCACCATCAAAATCTATAAAGCAAAAACTGTAAGAAATACCACAGTAAATTAATAGCTAAAATGTGAATGTGAAGTCCTGAAAATGTTAACCCCAAGGCCCAAGTTACATAAATCATGTTTTGTTTAGTTCTTTCGAGGGCTGGTAGCTGCATACCTGTAGGAACTTGACCCAAATGGCCGAGTCTTCCACAGATTTGCCTAAGAGGGAATTAGCATGCTCTGCAACTCAAATATTTTTCGCCAACATAAATGCCTGTATTAAAGCAGTCAAGAATAAATATCCACACCTGCCATTGCAGTGTGGCGAGACTATAACAAGAATGCTGACGATAATGAGGCCAGACATCAGCCGAGCCCCACCACTGTGTGCAATTTTGTTAGCCTCGGGCCCTGCACAAGCTCCGCGATCCATTAAAAGTCAGGTGGGTGCCTCTCACCCTTCTGCAAATCCCCAGGGGGTTACGCCCAAGGCCGCTGACCCCAGTCCTTCCACAGCTCCCAACACTGTTCCCCTCCCTGAGTCGAGGCAAACCCAGATGCAGAAATGCAACCCTTTTCCTTGTTTCTTCAAACCCTCCTCCCAGAGCGCCTGTGTGGCAGCCGAGTCCACTAAGGTCTGGGGAAGAGGAAGGAGTTTGAAGTTCAGATGGTCAAATGCCTCACACGTCTAACCCCAGGATCCACCGAGCCCCCGTGTGTAGGGCCTTTCCCTGTGGTCAGAGCTCCTGCTTCCTTCCCGCCAAGCCTCGTCCAGCTGAGCCGAACGTCTCCCGTCCCTCCCATCCCTGTCTCTCTCTCCAGTCTTCTCCTCTGGCAGGTCTTTGGGCCTCCTCCCTGAACAAGGATGATGCCGGTGCGGGAGGTAACAAAATGGCCCTCGTACCTACTTCAGAAGAAGTCCGTAAGACGACACTTGGCCTCTGCCAGGTCCTGGCCGCCTCTGGCTTCCCTACATCACGGTGTTGAGCCCTGTCCCAGCTCTGGAGGCACGTGTACTGCTGTCAGCCCCGATCAAACGGGGACACTGAAGCTGGGAGAAACTGAGACGCATGACCGAGATCACAAAGGCAGTGTGCAGCCAGGATCCAAAACGGGATTCTCCTGCCTGCGGACGCCGGGGGCAGGAGTCTGGATATTTAAAGATGCGGATTCCTGAGTATTTTTGCGGCACCCCCAGCACCACGGCAGCCACTCCATCTGGCTAGGGGTCGCTCTGTGTTTAAGCACACCACACCAGGCTTGACTCAAAGGAGTGAGAGAGAGAGAGACAGAGTGTGTGTGCACGCGCGAGAGTGTGCATGTGCATGTATGTGAAAGTGTGTGCATACGTGTTGTGTGTGTGCGTGTGTCCATGAACACTGAGGTCTGGGGACTGAGGTCCCTACCCTCGCCCCCACCTCGGTGGCTATGTCACTCCTCTCAGGCAGCCCAAGGGGGAGGCGGGCCCCCCACAAGCCGCACCCCTGCTGAGTGACTCTCCCCTCGACAATGAGAAGGGGCGGTCTCAGAGGTGATCTGGGTTTGTGCCCTCCCTAGGACTGTAGGCACGCCACCAAGGCTGGGATGGCACTAACGCCCATCCCTCAGGTTGTGGGAGGGGGAGACGGATGAGTCTGAAACAGTAAGTATGGCTTTGGAACCAACTTGGCTCTTCTGATGACAACGTGCCTTGTTCCAGATGGTTCCTGTGCATGTTCTCCTTCGTTAGCATGCTAATTTATTCTGACTCATCGCGAAACTGCTGCAGGCGGGGCTGGCGCACACCTCAATGCCACAGCAAGACCCGGGGGCCCGTGATTCCCAGCTGGAACAGGAGCCCTCCCTGGGGGCTGTCACCAACACCGGGTATATAGAGAACAGTTGGGGACGAGGCTTCAGTGGCAGCCTGAGCAGGCTGTAATTTCCCCTCCGGTGGCCCTGACAATCTGCGACAGGATCGGGAGGGCAAGGCTGGAGACACGGGCTCTGCGAACGTTCACGCCAGAAAGTTCCGGATAGCGCACAAATGTAAGTTCAAACATAACGGAGGCATCTGAAACAAAGACCCGAAGCAGAGTCGGGAACCTGACATCGCTCGTCCGTCAGCGCGGGCGAGAGTCGGGCGGGGCAGAACCTCCAGGTGTGGGCCCAGGCCCCGGGGTGACACCTTTGTCCTCTGGTCCCAGGGGGTGCCGTTCACCAAGGCCCCTGCACTGGGACACGCGGGAATGCCACCACAGACCCCCACTTCCCACTGTGCAGGCCACGGCTCAGCCCAGAGACATTTCCTGGTCACCAGGATTGGCCCAGACTCTGCAAGGGGCACCCGGGGATGCGGTGTGACCTCCCAGAGCAGCCCTGCAGCTGTGAAGTCCGGGCAAACAGCTGGCCTCGAGCAGGACAGCCCTCGGCCCGGGGAACCAGGCCCCCAGCAGTCAGCTGACCCGGGACAAGCCTTCCCTGCCTTGCCCCCACCGCACCCTGGGCACTGCTGGGATTGTCCCCAGGGCTGGCTTGTCCCCTCACCCCACCCCAGGGTCAGCTTCTGGGACACCCAGCCTACTGTCCTGTCCTACTGGGCAAAACTCACCGACATGGCCACCCTGACCGCTTGGGCCTGGAAAACAGGTATCCATTCAATCCTGGCCCAGGTTCCCAGGTAAAACCCCATGTCCCCCACGGCTGGCTTCCTGCCCAGACCTCCCCAGGTCCCCTCCCACCGAGGGCTGCTGGCTGCCCTCCTCGACCTTGGGGCTCCCTGCCCCTCGGCCCTCCGTGGCCAGGAGTTCCCGGCCCCCTGGGAGACAGAGTGACAAAGTTGCCAGGCACAGTGAGCAGGCTTCTGGAATCCCCCCGAGCTCCATCGCACCGTCTACAGTTTCCTGGCAGTGGGAAGGGCCCCTTCCGTGAGGGGGAGGGAGTCTGAGCCTGGCGCTGGGGGCCCCCCCAGCGGGGCCGCCCTCGGTGCTGGTGAGGACTCTGGAAGGTGAGCACGGAGCAGGTCCTGAGACACCCCCCACTCCTGGGAACGTGATGGAGGCAGAGGGCCGTGTGTGGGGAGGACCCAGGGACCAGGATGCCTGGGGCGGACAGAGGCCAGAGCCCGTTGGCGTCCTGGGTACTTGGTGACCCTTGAGGCCCGGCCCCGCCTGCACTTCCTGCTGGGAACAAGCACGTCCAATCAGGCCACGCTGCAGGGCGGCCGCTCGCTCGGGTCTGTCACCAGCCACTGGCATCCCTCAGGAGAAACCCCGCCGCCCGGGCCGTAGGAGCGGCCTGCCCTCGGCTCCAGGAAAAAAGGAGACGGACGGACAAGCAGGAGGCTGTGCTGTACCCTGTTCTGTCCACGGCACCCACACAGAACGGCGTCCCTCCTCCGGAAAACGGGCGTGGTAGGCAGAGGGAGCGTGACCATCCACCCCCACTGGCCGGGGACAGTCCCAGGCGCGTCTGGGGCCCTTAGTAGTTGTTAGAAGCACCGCTGTCCCCCTGCTGTCCTGCCTGCACAGGACACCGTCTCCCAGCTCCGGGCGAGCAGCCGAAGGCTTAGTGCGGGAGGAAGGCGGGGGAGGCCGGAAGCAGCCTGGCTGGGGTGGCGGACTGGGCGGGACCCCCGTGCAAGGTGATTTCCGAAGCTCAGAGGCTTGGACCTCGGGGCCCCGGGAGGGAGCCACGGAAGGGGCAACACGTGACATAATCAGCAAGGTCTTCCGGTGGGACCCACCAGCCAGCCACGGGGATACCTCCTCCTTGCGGGGGGGGGGGGGGGGGGCGGTCACGTCGTGGGGGTCACCTGTCCTCACCCCGGCCGCTGCACCCCCAACTCTCTGGCAGGAATCCGCATTACCGCTCGGTTAATGCGTGTTAAGCGGAGCACAGGCGCTAGACGAGGAGCCACGGCCACTGACCGGCCACAGAGGAAGTGAAGTAGGGACGTCCGCACTCACAGGGGCCGGAGGAAGTGCCAGGACACGGGGAGACCGTTGACCACAAGGCTTCCGGGAGTCAGGTCGGGGCTCTGTGGCTGCCACCCGGGCGCTGTGCTGGTGGGAGGGGCTCGCACGGACAGCCCCCAGGCCGCACGGCCGAAGCCCGAAGTTCCGCCCCTTCCTGGAGGGATTTGGGGAGAGAGGCACCACCCCCCCCCCCGTCTTTGCCCCGGGAGCGCACTCACCGGGGCGCAGCTGGTCGCCGGCAGGTGGACGTGGGCGTCGAAGCCCCCGGTCCTCGGGCGGGAGCCAGCCCGGCACCTGCCGCCCCGCGTGCAGGCAGATGGGGGCGGGGCTTCCTTCCTGCGCTTGTCTCAGGCACGTGCCACAGGCTGGCCCACAGAAGTCCGGATTGTTCCACGGTGACCCGGGCCACGTGGGGACTTCTTCACCGTGCGGCCCGTGGTGCCTGCCAGAGGGTGGGGGATGGGCCCCATTAGGAGGCTGACCTCCCCGCGGGGCTGTGTGTCCGGGGGTCTGGCGGCCTGGGACTTGTCAGGACATCCCTCCTTGTCCCGCAGCTGCTAAGAGAGACGTGGCAGGCTCAGGGGCCTTTGTGGGCGCGGAGGAAAGGACTCATGGTGGAGTGCCCCCAGCTCCACGCGGCACAGAAGCGGACCCCACGGACGGTCTCCGGTGACCAGGGGCGTCCCTGGAGCCGGACGGGGGGGGGGGGGGGGGGCGATGGGAATTCGGTGCAGGCCACTGCCGGGGCCCCTGTGGGCCGTGGGCGCCTGACGGTGGGACACTGCTTGCCGAGGTGGCCCAGCTGCCCGGGGTGGAGGGCGTCGTCCCGGCCACCGTGCCATCGGCCCGGCTGCGCCCACTCTGCTGCATCACCAAGCAGGTGTACCGTGTCCCCTTCAGGAACCCGCTGCCGCCCCTGGGGCCTCCTCCACGGCCAGCGGGGGAGGGGGTCCAGCCGGAAGGGGCCCAGTTCACAGATGGCCCTATGTGGTCTCAGGCTGTGCCAGAGTCAGCGAGGGTCCCCACCTGTTGCCTGCTCCGCAGAGCCGCACGGGGCCTGTTACCCGTCCGCGGACCCAGCGCCCTGTCTCCGGTCTGCTCCCGCCACGGCCCGCACGGCCCCCAGGGTCTGCGGGCCCCTGAAAGCCTCCAGCAACACCACACGGGATCATGGAAAGCCCGTTTAAAGCTCCTGGTAATTACTTCCAGGGGGTTTATAGCCCCAAAGAGTCTCGCAGCCACGCCCCGCCGTCCAGGAAGGCGATATTTCACCATCAAGGACGCGACCCTGGGTATTTACAGACGGTAATGAGACTGTCCACTGCTCGATGTTGCCATAAATAAGCAGGAAAGTGCCGAGTTTCACGCAATTCTCCCTGATTGCCTGGAAGGCGTCATTATTTTAATAAAAAAACTAATCAGCCAGCCTCCCCAGATCTCAGGCTCGGTGTTAATTACAGAGGGGCTGGCGGGCGGGAGCAGCGCGTCGACTGTCACGGGGGTGGGGGCTCTCTCGTGTTGAAAGGAGGGAATTCAAAGAAAGAGGAAGAGTGTGCTCGCCTCCAAAGTAGCGGTGAGGATGCAGGATGTCCTTGTGACCCCCGGCACGGACACCATTACCCCCACAGGGGGTTCAAGGCAGCCACACGCCTTTCTCCACGCCATGGTCCCCCGGGGTAGCCGGAGAGGGCCCCGCGGAGCCGTGTGGCCAATTGCACGGGAGCAAAGAGCCAGGCTGGGCTCCTCAGAAAGTGCAGGGGAGGGGGGAGACTTAATTGTCAGGCTTCCTTCCCTTTTTCACTCCCCTCTGTGCTCTGCCCTGCTCTTCCCCCTGCTGGGAGCACAGGTGCGATGCTGGAGGTGCAGCAGCCCTCTTGCGACCATGAGGCCGTAAGCAGGACAAAAGCTGCTTTGGGGACCGCTGAACAGAAAGACGGAAGGCATCTGTGAGCCGGGTTTGGAGGCCGCCCGCTCTACTCCATGCTTCTCGTGACACAAGAGACATAAAGCCCGTTTCATGAAACCGTTGTAAGTTGGGTTTTATTTAATCCCTAAGCAGTGTGTCCAAAAATAATTGTTACTAAAAACAAAAACAAACACAAACACAAACAAACAAACGAAAAAACGGGGTATCTGGGTGGCTCAGTCAGTTAAGTGTCCGACTTCAGCTCAGGTCATGATCTCACGGTCCGTGGATGGGTTCAAGCCCCGCACTGGGCTCTGTACTGATAGCTCAGAGTCTGGAGCCTGCTTCAGATTCTGTCTCTCTCTCTCTCAAAAATAAACATTTAAGAAAATAATAAGGCCACTGGAGAAGTCTTAAGTGGACTCATTTGTAACTGCACCGCTCCAGGTACCTGGACCCCGCGTCTTCCTGGGCACACGGAGGTCGGGGGCGGGGCTGGCCGTCTGACTTGGCTGGGCCGGTGACGTCGGGCAGAAGTGATGTGTCACTTCTGGGAGGCACACTGAGTCGTCGGTCTCTCTCTTGTCCTGTTTCGACCAACGTGAGAACATGTGCTGCGCAGAAGTCCCCCCTGGGCCCTGCTGGGAGGGCAGCCGGCCCGGGACCTTCTCGGGCTGTGGGAGGGTGAGGGCCCAGCTTTCCGAGTCCCTGGGGCTCGGGGTCCGCTTGTCAGCCTCTCCCGACTAACACAAGCAGAGGCCCCGTGTCAGAGAAGGTCGCGGGGAAAGGTAGGGGCTCTTCCTCCTGAAAAGTGAAGCCAGAGGAAAGTTTTCTGTTGAGCAGAGGCCGAGGCTTTCACGGCAGCTCTGCCCTGAGTTTCCGAAGGAACAGAGAATTGCACCCTCTGATTCCCGTTACTAATTTTTCCCAGTGCAAGTATTTGGTGGCAGGGCACGCCCCGTGGCCCGCTGCTGGCCCTCACCACAGGCCTGTGTCCCGCTGTCCCCGGAGGCGTCTTCCCCCGCCCCACCCCCACCCTCACCGGGCACCACCGCGGCTCCTGGACAGGAGCCCGCAGGGGCCGGTGCGTCCAGGCTCTTCCCGATATCTGGGCCGTCCCTGCTTGCGTCTTCGTCGACCCCAGGACTCTCCACACGTCCCTGCGTCGGGGTCACACTGCATGTTAACGGGGTCCCCAGATCCGGCCACCGATGAGAGACCGACCGGGAAGGGCGGGGGGAGAGGGATGGCCTCACAGGCGCCCTGAGCCCTGTCCTTTCCCGGGGGTCCCAGGGCTCCAGAGGAGGTCCCAGCCCCCCCCGCCCAATTCGCAGACCCCTTACGTCTTTTCCAGTTAGCGGGCCCCCCACTGACAGCCAGGGCCAGGCCGCAGCCACACGGAGCCTTCGAGGGACCGGCTGATGGAACTGGTGGCAGAAAATCTACTTGTAATAAAACTGTTCATAAAAGTGAAATGTCATTCAAAGGCTCCGTGTCCACGGGGAAACGGTTTTTATGTCCCCGTGTGTCTCAGAGAGCAGACATCTCTCCGCTCACCGTCCGCCGGGGACCAGCATGGGGTGGGGGGCCCAGGGTCTTTGCAGGGACCCTGCCTGGTGGGGGGGTCTCTGGGAAGCGGCTGTTTAGACAGAAGGCCCAATGCCTCTGCTCCCCTGCCCTCCCCCACGGCAGCAGTGGGCCCCAGCAGGATGGGACCCAAACAGCAGGCCAGGGGCGGGCAGGGGACAGAGGGGCTGATTTCTCGA